CCCCCCCCCCCCCCCCCGGTCCCTGCACCCGGCACAGCCGCGGCTCCGGAAAGCCCGAGTGCGAGGGGGTGAAGCGCAGGAATTGACTGAAGCCAGCGGCACGGGGGACGGAGGGAGGTCACAGAGAGGCTGTCCAGGGGCCGCATCTCAGGCCGTAGGACGGGGCTGACCGGCCGGCCAGCGCTGCGGAGGCCGGGACCCCAGCGAGGGCCGTGCCCGGGGGCGGGGGCGGCGGCCCCGCGTGGGGACAGCGGCCCGGAGCGCAGCGCTGAGGGAGAGCACGACCACGGCCGGCGCGGAAGGGGCGGGATCGCCGAAGGCTTGGCCTTCGCACGCGGGCACCGGCTGTGAAACTCCGTTTCCCAAAGCTGGTGCTGGTGCCACGAGCTGAGCTCGTGTCTCGACCTCGTCCCTTGGGAGCCGCAGCGGAAAGGCGTCAGTACTGCCCGGGCACCCAGACGGGGCAGGCGCGGGCGCCCCCGGGCGGGCGGGAGCACCGGAAGCCGGGCGCCCTCGCGACAGCACGGCCGCCCCGTGCCTGGGCGGCTGAGCAGGGACGCCGGCGCGAGGCCCGGGGTGTCTGCGGTCTGGACCCCGCAAGCCCAGACTGCTCAGCAAACTGCAACTCCTGCTGGGGCCGGTGGGGTCCCTCCCGTCTCGTCCAGAGACGCCCCGCGGTGCCATCGCGCAGGCGTCTCCCCGAGTCTCTGGCGGTTACCCGGAGGCCTCCGAGCGAACGCCGCGTTTCTGCTCCGTCGGCTCCTCACGGGACAGGCCGCCGAGTGAGCCGCCACCTTCAGCCCCTCTCGCTCCAGCTCGGAGATCGGCGGCGCTGCGCGGCCGCCGCAGGGACAGGCCAGCTGGCCGATGGCGGCTCCTCTCCCTGTTCAAACGGTCACCGAAACGGGGGCAGCGGCTTCCTTACCCCGCGCGGCGGCCTGCGCCTCCGGACGCTCCCCCGCAAGTCGCCGGGCGGCCTCTGGTAAAATCCTCATTTTCGCTAACAAGCAGCTCCTTAGTGTTCTCAAAACCGTCTCGCTCTCCTTTCTCTAAAATTACCTCTGATGGGGCGCCTGGGTGGCTTAGTCGGTTAAGTGTCCGACTTCGGCTCAGGTCATGATCTCACGGTTCGTGGGTTCGAGCCCCGCGTCGGGCTCTGTGCTGACTGCCAGCTCAGAGCCTGGAGCTGCTTCAGTCTGTGACTCCCTCTCTCTCTGACCCTCCCCTGCTCATGCTGTCTCTCTCTGTCTCTCAAAAATAAATATTTTTAAAAATTATAAATAAAAATAAAATTCCCTCTGTGACATAAACTTTTTCTCCTTCGAGACCTCAGCCTTGGTCTTAGTCTCACAAATAATGCTTCTGGATCTCATTCTCTCTCTTTTAAAAACACTTAAAAAAAAGTCATTTTCCACCAGGTTGGACCCTGTGCCCGGGCCCAGCAGCCCCTCTCCCTGGCAGGCTCATAGCCCCCGAGCGGGGACCTGGGGTCACTCAGTCTCCAGCAGGGGACCCTCTCGTCCCAGCAGCGGCTCTCAGGGGGCTCACGGTAGTGCTGTGGGTGGAAACCCCGGGGCCCCGGGAGAATTTGAGGCGCGCAGCCCCTTGGCTGAGCCTCTGAGATCTGTGAGTTGTGTATTTCGCACCCTCGGAGAGCACCCCCTGACGGGCCAGTCCCTGGCAGGGACGGTGCTGGCCCTCTGGAGCTCCCCACAGCCAGGGGCAGTCACAGGGGCAGAGCTGACCACGGTCAAGGCCGCTCTTGAGACGACTTCTGAAGGAAATAACTCCGGGCTGTCTATTCATGTGTCCATACACACTTACACGAACCCTCTTTACCTGTTTGGTAGTGTTGTCCTGTCCTCTTTCTTGGCTCATATTCCGCTTTGTATAATCTCAAGGATTGCATCCTCTTCAAAATACCGGGAGCGTTTTTAAGCGATTGCTTTTGCTTCCTGGTTGGCGTTGCCTCCTCTGTAGGATTGCGCGTGTTCTTGTGACTGACAGGGGGACGCCAGCCGAGCAGATGCAGTCAGGGGCACATGCGACCCTTCCCAGCAAGTTCGCCGACTTCCCTGCACTGTACGTGTCCACAAGCGTGCTTTGCCAAAGTTAACATTCTTAGGAGGACAGCAAGTCACATTTCTAGTTTCCCAGGACACCTCTACTGGGAAAAACAAACAAACAAACAAAAATCCCACAAAACTTTCAGTATCTAAGTGTCTGGTAAGTCAAAAACTCCTCTTTCACTTTGAGCCCAGGTCATCATATGCCCAGATCTGGCCTCACGCCCCCAGGGGCTGTGTTTTCCAGCCGCGGGTAGCTGTAGGAAGGTAGTGGTGTGCGGGAAAAGCCCTCAGGAGCTGGCTAGTAGCAGGCCCACACTGGCCCTGGCTTTTTAGCTGTGTGACTTTGGGAAGCTGTTCAGACTCTCTGAGTATTCGGTCTTCCTCTCTGGAAAGGGGATAATAATATAGAGCGATTGAGGGTTGCAGCGAAGAGTCACGTGCCCCATATGTGAAATGCCAAACACGGAGCCAGGTGGACAGTAGAGGCTCGTAAATGTAAGTTCTTCTTCTCCTCCTCCGGTGCCGTCTACACTCAGCGAGAGGCGTAGGACTCCTACTGGGCGCAGTAACAGAATAGCTGTAAGAAGGCTTCCCAAGTGATCACCTTCACTGTGACACTCCTGTTTCCAAAAATTCACCAGCGTGCCCATCCTCCCTCCCAGTGGATCATGTCCGGTTGAGCTTGACATTCAAGAAGAACTGAGAGATCAAGAAAGATGCCAGATCAGAGCCCAGTCCCCATGGGAGCAGGAGCCCTGTGAAATGGCCACGAAGGGGGCTGGGAATCAGAAGAGGGGGGGTGCCCAGGTGGGACTCCCCAGGACGGAACACTCCCGTAGCAGGGTGCACCTGGCCCCTCCTCTGGGGCTGGAAACCCAGTGCTGTTGCACAGCCATGCGCCCTGCGAAGCTGGGTCTGGGTACTGTCATCAGAGCCAGCCCTGCGCTCTCCTCCCCGACCCAGACGTTTGGGGCCTCCTCTCCGGGGCAAGTGTTTCAGCCACACCTGTCCACTGAAGCCCAGTTCCCATCCGATGTCGTGAGCCTTCCTGGCACTTCTCTGAAACCCCAAGAGATTTCCTGACTCTCGGGCCACCCAGATGCCCACTGGACGAGCTTCCCAAAGCACATGCTCCCAGAGGTTCACGGTGGGTGTGGGCTATTGGGAAGGTGTTGGGAGAGGGAAAGACGGATGACACCATTGGACCCACAGACATTTAGTCTGAGAGCAGGAAAGCATGCATGCAAACAACCATTACACTCCATTGGAATTGCTGGGCGTGAAAGAAAATAATGCTACGTTCCAAAAAAAGCTCCACAAAAGATTTCTTTCGGTTGAGGGAGCAAGGTTTTATGGGAGGCAAGGCGTTTCAAGTTGCCTTTACACACGAGAAAGATGGAGGTGTCTGGGTACGCACGCTGCCTTCCAGCCATGTTGCCATCTCCTCGGGTAGAGGCACGCACATCTCTACGGTTTCTTTTAATGAGTACCTTCAGCATTTTGAGTTGGCATTGACATCAGTTTTTACAGATTGAAGACATCTTAGAAATCTTACTCCACTAGACTACAGGGTAACGGCCCCATCGTTACCAAGCACCTCAGAGCACTCAAATAATCCCAGCATCCACGGGCGGCATTTGCTGGAGAAGCGATTTGGGGAAAACGGAGGCTCTGTGTCAAAGGAAGGGCAAGTCAGACCACACATTTTCCGATCCTACTGCTAGAACTGCTTCATGCCCAGGTGTACAGCACAGGCTTGCTCAATGTCAGGCATGGGCTACAACGGCGTGAGGCCAATGGATCGACGCGTGGCCGTGGCACCGCCCAGACTACCTGGTGGTCTGAGCATTCTGGAGTCTGGCACGGAGACTCCATTCCACGTAGGACATTTGTGCCTCCCCTGGTGTTCCAAATGGCCCCGTCTCAGTTAGAGCGCTGACATCAGTTGCTGCCATTCCTTTATGTGCCTCCCCCCCACCCCCGCCCCCCACCTCCCCGATCCGGACGTAGCTCTTGGAAAGTACCGCCACCATTGGCTTGCATTTGTGAGCGGTAATTGGCTATGAAATCCCTTGTGAATCTGTTTTGAGAATAAAAGAAGTAAAAAAATTCAAGGATCATTCTGGGCGCTGGCAGCCTTTGTCTTCCCTTCTGCCCCATGTTTTGGAGAGCACTCCAGTCCCCATCGTGCTCTGTGGGGATGAATTGTGATCAAGAGGACATGCACTGCATAGGACCTTCAAGGGCAACAGACAAAACACGCAGTCTTTTAGGGCAAGAGTGTGGATTTATAGGCAAAATGCAGCTATTCTGAGACTCCCCAATAAAGATATACAACCTGGACAAAAGGTAAGTATTTCACTCAGTCTGTGAAAGCCTGTGAAATTTATTTTTTGCAAGCTTTTACAGTCCATGGCCCTTCCCATTCAATCTTGAATAATAGCATTGAATTGAGCTGTAAAAGCTTCCGAAGTTTGAAGCCTTTTGACAAGTTAATTTAGCAGTATGGTAAAAAGTTTTTCCCCAAGATAGAATAAAGCCATCATATCATGAATGTAGCAGTCATCCAGAGGAAAGAAAACACCATTAGGATTAGAAATGATGTGCTTTATGGAGATAGTTTGTGGTTTCGTGTAATCTACTATCAATATTTCAGGAGAAAGATGTTCCACTCATCAGTCAGCTGGAAGTCAATATCTCCACTTAAAACCAACACCCAGGGGCCAGATCACATCTATCTTTTATTGGAAAAATAACATTCTCTCTAAGTTTTCTTTCCTGCAGTTCTTGAGATTCTAATTGTGGGGTGGTTTCTGTGTGTATATGTATATACGAAGCAAAGAGGCTTTTCTTCTAGAAAAACACAAGGAAAAGACAGAAGCAATACTTTCCTTGTGCCTCCCCCCTCCCCCGCTCCCACCCGCATCACCCCCTCGGGAAGGGAGGGTGCTCTTACTTGACCCTTTGAAATCACATAGTCAGTCTCACTCGGTAAGACAGAGGCCAAGTGAGGGCGGTTGTTTGGTTGTTTGCTTCTCTGTTGTTTGTTTGTTTTTAAAAATCCACACCAGTAACTCAGAGTGCCTGAGTCAGGTGGCATCTCCATCGGACGATATGAAGACTGGACGGACGGGAAGCAGACCCATGCTCTCCCCCGGGCATCGCACTGACTGTTGCTGAGAATCTTCGGGGAAGAGAAATATTCACCTATAAATAGGATCAATGGTACAGATCTGGCTTTGTCATGAAGGAGAAAAAAAGCCAAGAAAAATTAATTACATGTAACAAAGAAATGCTTCAGACGCCATTTGGTCTTGTGCCCTGAATATAAATCTCCAAATGTTTCTCACTTGAATATTTTAGTGGGGAAAAAATAAAATTAAAATTAAAAATCAGATGCCCTATTGTTGTGTTTCTGTAGCAGCGCAGGGTGGCTGTGAAGCGTGCTCAGTGGGTCTCACACTGCGGGGCTGGGACGGGACGGAGGCTGGAGGCTCGTGTAGGGACTGGAGGCCCCACACAGACCCCCCCCCCCACCGATGGGCTCCCCGCTGGGCATCCGGCAGAAGGGGGAACCATTTCTGAATGGTTCCTACCTATGGTGTATGGAGCAGAGAGTGAGTTTTCACTTCAATAAAGGAAAGACCATTTAATTATTCCTATTCTCCTAGAACAGTTTAGGAAGAAAATACCTAACGGGTTGGGGTTTTAGAAAGAGAAAGAGCTAGATTTATGGCGCTGATTAAAAAGCAAACAAACAAACAAAAAGCGAATGCTTCGAATCAGCTAGACCTGAGTGCAGTCTCTACCATCATCTCTCTCTTTTTTAATTTTTTAGCATTTATTCAGTTTTGAGAGACAGAGAATGAGTGGGGAAGGGCCAGAGAGAGAGTGAGACACAGAATCTGAAACAGGCTGAGACATCAGCACAGAGCCTGATGTGGGGCTTGGACCCACGAATGGAGATCATGACCTGAGCTGAAGTTGGATGCTTAATCGACTGAGCCACCCAGGCGCCCCTCTACCATCGTCTCTTAATAGATGTTTCTTGAATGATCCTCCCCAGCAGATGCTCCATGTGCCTGCCGCGAGCTGGGCGGTATGCTGAGCGCTGGGGCCACAGCAGTGAACACGGGACAGATGTGTCCCCCTACCCCTCCTCCTACCCGCACGGAATTCCCACACGTGTCCTCGGGCAGTGTCTCCTGCCCCCAGTTGCCTGGCCCTCGCGGGTACCTTGAATAAGCACCTTTAGGGCAAGGCTGTCACGGACATTCAACGAGAGAAGAGCCCCCTGGGTGCTCTGTACAAAGCAACTGCACAGACGTCTAAATTACGAGAGACGGGCCTGCTAATCAGTCTAAGTTATAAGTGATGGCAATATTTTGGGGGTCAAATGTTGAAAAGATTCACAGAATAAAGAATATTTTCTTTTTTGAGACAAAGAGAGAGAGGGGTTGAAGGCGCGAGTGGGGGAGGGGCAGAGGCAGAGAGAGAATCTCAAGCAGGCTCCACGCTCAGTGAGGAGCCCAACTTTCAAGCCCATCAGCCTGGGATCATGACCTGAACCAAAATCAAGAGCCGGCCGCTAAACCACTGAGCCGCTCAGCCGCCCCTCTTTCACTTAAAAGCAGAATCATAATAAAACTCTATCTCTCATGTTCTTTCCTTCTAAACAAAAATAACGAAATGCGTCATGGTCACTTGAAAAGCAAAGTTAACTATTTGCCTGTGTTTATATATTCCTTTGAACTATCCTTTGAATTTCTTTTGTGTCTAAAAGTAGAAACTGCTTGTTAGTGAAAATGTAATTTGATTTTCATACAGAAATAACTGACTTCAGGGGCGCCTGGGTGGCACAGTCATTTGAACGTCCAACTATCGATTTCAGCTCAGGTCATGATCCCAGGGTCATGGGATTGAGCCCCACACTGGGCTCCCTGCTGAGCATGAAATTGGAATTCTCTCTCTCTCTTTCTCTCTCTCTCTCTGCCTCTCCCCTGCTCATATGCATGCTCTTATGCTCTCTCTCTAAAATAAAAGAAATAATAATAAATTACTCCAGCAGCGTGTATAAATTTTAACTCTTAAGACTGCTATGAAGGAAACAAACGATGGTGAGTTTCAGTGGCACAACCGGTAACGTTCCTAAATATGGCTTAAAAATAATATACAACCCTTGCTTTTCTGGATCACGGAAGTGATGTTGTTCATGCAACTCATATTTATGGGGCGCCAGGAGCTGTGCAAGTGGACAAAGGACAGCAGCGGACAGGGGACCTAGCGCTAGATTGCTCCTTGTCTAATGTGGGAGACCAGTATTGAACGAATAGCCACTCGGTGCTTAACTACCGCTAAAATCTTGAAAGAGAAACGTTCCGCCCTTTAAAGTATCCTCCGTAATTTTATCACATATGCACATGCGTAGTTTATTTTGTGCCTCACTATTAAATATTTCAAGCTTACAGAAAACTAGAAAGATTAATGAGCTCACCTGTGCTCATGCACGTTGCGCATCCACAAGAGCTCATCCCGTTTTGTTGTGTAGGATCCCACTGTGTGAAGGTACCATTGCTTTGTTCATTCATTCAATTGTAGGAATGGGTTGTCTCCAGTTTTTGGGTCTGAGGAGTGGAAGTGCTGTAAGTTTTTTTGTATAGATTTTCATGTGAGCATACGTTTTCATTTCTGTAGGGTGAAAACATCTGAGTAAGAGTGCAGGTCATATGATAAGTGTATGTTTACCTTTGGGGAAAAATGGTAAAACCGTGCTCTGGAATGGCTGCTCCATTTTGCGTTCCCACAGCCACACATGAGACTTACAGTCGCTCTGCATCCTCACCGGTGCCTATTGTTTTCGCCGGTTCTCACGTTAGCCACTCAGACAGGTGTGAAGCCATCTCATTGCAGGTTAACGTGCATTTCCCTAATGGTTACGCCTGTTGAACTATGATGTCAGATTTGTTAATATTTTCCTTCATGTTAATGCCTTTTGTGTTCCTTCCAGGAAGGCCCGGGTGGCTCAGTCGGTTGAAAGTCCCACTTCGGCTCAGGTCATGATCTTGTGATTCAGGAGTTCAAGCTCCACATCGGGCTCTGTGCTGACAGCTCCGAACCTGGAGCTGCTTCAGATTCTGTGTCTCCCTCTCTCTCTGCCCCTCCCCTGCTTGAGTTTTGTCTCTCTCAAAAATAAATAAAAACATTAAAAATTTTAAAAAATAAGTCCTTCCACAGATCATAAAACTATCCATCCCATATACACTTCTAAAACTTTAAAGTTTTGCTTTTCACATATAGATTTTTTTCTGGCATATTTATGCATTTCATGACACAGGATTTGTTTTTTTCTTTTTTTCAGTGTTGTTAACTATTTGTCCAAGCATTGGTTATTTAGTAGTACATGTTCTCTGCTTTGTAATGCAAACTCTGTCTTCCTGAAGTTTGGAAGAGATCTTGACCCCTGGTAAATACACTTTCCCTAACCACAATGTACTTATCAACATGGCCTTGCCTACCCTGGGCTCTTTGCTTTTCAATGATTTTTCAGAAGCAACTTGCCAAAAATTTCATCGAAGTTATAAAACACATTGGTGAGAAAGGCCAGTTTTACAAGTTTGAGTCTTCCCATCCAAGAACATGGTAAATTGAATACAAGGTGGCATTGTGTAAAAAGTTCACTGTTATTTTATGTGGTACAAAGAAAGAAAAAGTGTTGCCAAGTGATCAGTGACCTAAGATACAGCTAAGGCACTGTCAATTTTCAGACATGTCCGATTTCTGAGATGTTAATGTAAAAAAAAAATGCGTATTTCAGAACTGATGAAATTTGGTGTATGTTTCCAGTTATATGGGTTCCTTTATAATATCTTTCAATAAAGTTTCATAATTATTTCCATTAATCTATATCACTTTTGTTAGATAGATCCATAAGTATCATGAGGCTTTTTGCATTAACAGTAATATCTTTACAGTTCTGAATGTTTCCAGCTAGCCTTAGGGACACAATGAATTTTGAAATAATTCTTATTATTAATTCTTATTAGTTCTAATAGTTTGCCTATAGATGTTCTTGGAGTTAACTTTTTGTAATTGTTTTCTTTTCTTTTTTTTAATTTTTAAAAATGTTTTTTTTTTTTTTATGTTTTTTTTTTTTATTTATTTCTAGGAGAGAGAGAGAGAGACAGCATGAGCAGGGGAGGGTCAGAGAGAGAGGGAGTCACAGACTGAAACAGGCTCCAGGCTCCGAGCTGGCAGTCAGCACAGAGCCCGACGCGGGGCTCGAACCCACGAACCGTGAGATCATGACCTAAGTGAAAGTCAGACGCTTAACCAACTAAGCCACCCAGGCGCCCCTAAAAATGTTTATTTTTGAAAGAAAGAGAGGAAGAGACAGAGCACCAGTGGGGAAGGGGCAGAGAGAGAGAAGGAGACACAGAATCCAAAGCAGGCTCCAGGGTCTGAGCTCTCAGCACAGAGCCCAGTGCAGGCCTTGAACTCACAAGCTGTAAGATCATGATCTGAGCTGAAGTCAGACACTTAACTGACTGAGCCACCCAGGCGCCCCATTTTGTAGTTGTTTTCTAACTCGATCACATCTTGGTAAAAGAAGGTGATAGGTTTGGTACTGATTCTTTGGAATGCATAGAGATTTGCTTTGTGGACTAGAAAGTGGCCATGGCCAGCGTTTGGAAATGTTCTACATAGTTGGTGTTTGTTAACTACAGAGTGCAGAATTTTTTCAGTATGTGAACATTAGTATAGACTTGTTAATTTTATGATGAAAATCTTGTATATTGGTTACTGAAAGACTAGTATTTTCCACTAGTGTGTTTATACATTTCTTCTGGGAACTTTTCAAATTTTTGCTTTACATTGTTATGAGTCTAAACTACAAGATGCAAAAAAAGTTTAAAATGTTATATCTCCTTGATGGATTGTCCCTCTTGCCATTACGTAGTGACCACCTTTGTCTCTAATGCATTCTTTCCTTACAGTCGATTTTAACTGATTTTATAGTAGCAGGGGCTTCCTTTGATTAGTGTTGACCTAGAACATCATTTTTTGCCCCTGTGGACTATAACTTTTCATGTTTAGGGCTATCATTTATGAACAGTAGGAAGATAGATTGTACTTTTAAACCCAACTGACAATCTACCTTTAATTGGAAAATTTAGTCCGTTTATATTCATTGTGATAACTGATCTATTTAGGCTTAGTTCTCAGTGTTATTCTGGATTTTCTGTTTCATCTTCTCTTTCCATGTTTCTTTTCTTTTTCTTCCCTACCTTCTATCATACTGATGGTTTTTCTTTCCATCTTTCCTTCCCTTCTCTGCCCCTGCTCCTCACTGCCATGGAAGCTGTCCGTTCTATTTCAAGTCTTTTAGTACTGTCTTCAAAATTTGTAGCAAGTACTTTTTGCTTAACAAAATCTAAAGTTAAATTCTCACATAATACAAGGATCTTAACATGCTCAAACTCCAATGTTCCCTGCTGCCTTACCAGCTCCACCTTGTTATTATACACCAGGAAACATCCATTATTTTATTTTGCACCACTGTTTGCTACAGCTCATACTTAGCATGAGCTTGGGTTTGCTTGCACATTTACAATTTCTCTGCTCAGCGTTTTCTTGCAGCTGACTTATTATCTTGGCCAGGGCAGTGGGGGCATGTTGTGAGGCGTTCCTCTTGGCGTTTCCTACCGTGATAACTGTTACCCCACAGGTGAGGGAATAAAAGCAGGGGCTCTGGTGTCTGCTGAGTTCATCCATCCCAAGCTGAAACTAATGTTCACATATTGAAAGAATTCTGAACTCTTAAATTAGCAAACACATCTTTTTCCAGGCAGATATGAAACAGTTACGACCACTGGCCAAGGCCCCACACTAGGCCACAAAAATAATATTAATGTGTACCATGAATTGATAACATCCATACCCGAGGACTGAGGAAATGACCACGGGGTAGGTCTGCAAACCCTGCCAATCCACAGGGAGACAGATGTGTTTTGGTAGGAAGAACTCCTATGCGGTTCCTCCATTGTCTTCTCCTGAGATGCCTTGTTTAGATCAGATGCCCCGGGAAGAGAGCTGGAGGTGAGGATTCTTGTGCACACTATTTATTGAGGGGTTGCTCTCAGAAGTGGGAGTCAGCAGGAAGGGTTTGGGGAGGAACCAGGCAAGTTAGACCTAGACTCAGGCCTTGGTTCAGCCCTGTCCCATGGGGGCTCAGAAGATGCCTCCTACCTCGGGGGCTTGGTGTCGTCTAGCCCTGTCAGTCAGACATCCCTGGAGGCCTCCCCGGGAGGGGAGGGGTACTCTCCCAAGCATTTGCAGGTGAGATGACTCCCTTTGACGAAGGACAGCGCTCTGGAGAAGGAGGCAGCCGTGAGCCAGTAGCAGACAACTCTTGCAGCATCTGGGGCTGGGGCCCCCTCGGGCGGTGAAGATGGGCTCAGGGCCCCGGTGCAGCCACCCCTCTCCTGGGGATGTCAGCTTCTGCCTCCCTGCCTCTGGTCCCCAGTTGCATACTTTCCCCAGATCTGTCTTCCAATTCGTGAATAACCTTTTCTGTTGTTTCTATGGTCTGATCTTTCTCACTGCATTTTTAAGTTTAATGGCTATGTTCTTCACGTCTAGAGGTTTTGTTTGTTTTTTTTAAAAAATTCATCTTCTTTTCCCCTAGTGCCTTATTCTTTTGCTACATATCCAATTCTTCCTTAACTTCCTTAGACATTTCTAGCATATGTGTGTAAACTTGTTTATATTCTCTCAGTTTCTGGGGGGCGGTGGGGAGAAGATACCATCCTGTTCTTTACCTATCTGCTGACTTTTGCCCACGGTGAAGTACTTATTTCGGGTTTTATCGTTTTAGGTTATACGCTCATTTAGAGTGAGGCTTTATCCGTGGGCTGTGGGTGTTTCCCTCATTAGAGCTGTTGGCTTCTGCCGGGCGCCCCAAGAGTATCCCATACCTGGACGGCTCTCGATGTGACTTTGTTGGCCTGAGGATCCCTAGATCCTAGAGGTCGTATGCACTCAAATCCGAGGGCGAGCCCTGTAACAAGTTCCCGGGGGGGCCTCGCCCCACCACCCTGAGAGCCAAGGTGGACAGGAAAGCTCTTCCTTGTGTATGCTCCAAGGGGCAGGTTTCTTTCTAGTCCATCCTCCCACAAAGATGCCACGCCTGAGAACCTCTCATGCAGAAGCCCCCGACCCAGCTCTCCAGCCGGGCATGAAACCCACTCCTGGTAATGTCTTCCTCCTAAGTGTGCAGTCTAGCATGTTCTAATCTTTGTTTTCTTCTCAGATTTGGCCTCTAGGGTTTCCCTTTCTTCCTTGTATGCTCAGCCGTGTGTTTTAAAAGTGCTACCTTTTAGGTGTGTTCCTAGGTCTTTTCTAATGAGCATGTTTTCAGGTGGACCAGTCAGCCACTTTGCCAGAGCCCTGCACTTGGCCCTGACCTCCATTCCTGAAATCTTAGGCTGCAGGTGATCGCCGTCTTCCACAACCTCCTTCGGTCCCTTTCCCTGAGCCGGCTGATGCATCTCACTGAAACCCCCATGCCTCCCTTCTACCCTTCTGCTCTCCATCTCCCTTTCCTGCCCCAGCTGGCCTGCACCCCTGACAAGTCACACCCACTACTGTGGCCAGCACCCTGAGGTCATCCCAGCCACCAATCTTGCATC